GCTCCTGCAGCCATGTTTGCTTCAAGACAAAAGCTGCTGGCCCTCTGCCACTCCATAAGCAAAGAAATGGCAGCATCGAATTTCAGAGAAAATGGTAACAAGTGGGCACAAATACTTAGGTTCTTGTTTCCTTATAAAACCATCCAGAGAGGCAAGCGAGAAGTTTGGAGGAATTGCACTAATGTATGTACTTTCTGCATCTCTCATTTTCAAGGTCTGATATCATCTCTGAAGGGACTTTTTCTTTGAAAAGACCAGAAACGCTCTCATCTTTATCTCTGTTAGCAGTTTCCTCTCTAGTTGTTATGAGGGGAGCTATCAGTCACCAAGGCCTCAGTTCGATTCCTGATAAAAGCCCTTGCAATATTTCGCATTGTAAAATCCAGGCCGTGCCCTTCTGTATCCACACTGGAAAGATCTGAGGTTTTGAGGCACCTGGGCCAGTGGAGGTGACTCATCTTCCTGACGCTGAGTGGAGGAGAGCTGCGTGTTTGGTGCACACCATGTGCCTGTCAGCAGTCAGCATCCTGTTGGCCAGGAAATCACTGCCTCTTCCCAGGAAAGGCTTTATCTGCAGCTGGGACAGAAGCACCTGTGGACAGAGGCCACAGAGTCATGGAAGAAAACCAGGTTGAATCCAGGGGTTCTATATTTGCAGTGAGAGGAAAGGGGCCCCATTTTCACACCCATCCCTGTCACTAAAACAAATAGGCAGCTTCTCTCCACCTTTTATAAAGAGTTTTATGGCCCGTTATTACAGGGAAACAAACAATGGTAGCAGACATAATGAATACAAAGGAAGGCATAAAACCATAATGATTTTGAAGAGGTCCAGTGGGTGGTTGCTGTCAGCCCTCCTCTCCCTCTTATGCTAGAGGAGCTCATTCATTAGAGTTGTCTGCTCTCCACCCCGTGACTCCTCTCTTCCCCTGGCCTTAGTCACAGATCGCTTATTTATTTAGCTAGTTATTTACTCCTTTCCTTGCTCCATAAAAACGTTGAGCCAGCTTATAAAAATACTCAGAATAAAGGATGGAATAAATTACCAAAATAAGCAATGAAGAAGACAAGGGGAGGTTGATAGAGCCAGTAATGAGATGAGCACATGGAAATGTCGACTATACGATCTTAGTTACTATAAGTAGGCTGCAAATTTGCATCTGAGACTCCTAGGAGCCACAGAAAAGAGAAAAAACAAGGCGGAAGGTGCACGTCTTCTGTCAAGAAAAGATCCACTATTCTAATGCAGGGTGTCTCCACTCCAATTCCTAACCCTACACAGGAAATACTCAACAGAATGCACATGAAGACCTCTGTTAAGAATATCTAGGGGACAACATCACCTGCCTTGTGTCTCTTTTCTTTCAACCTATTCTTTGTGAAATGCTTTAGGAATGGAATATCTCCTCTATTAAAGATCTGATACCACTCAGGCAGCATTTCTCAAACTTTCAGCATCCACAAGCCACTTGAAACTAATGCAGACCACCAATTTTAGGTAACAATTCATCATAATTTTTAGTAACAATGTAACAGGCCAGACTTTTAAAAAACTTTTTATTATGGAGAAATTCAAATATATAAAAGTAGAATAGTTATAATGAACCTCTATGCACCTATCACTCAGCTTCAACAATTATCGACTCACAGCCAATCTTTTTCAACACTATTGTCATCCACTTCCTTTCTCCCGTATTATCGTGAAGCAAATCCCAGATATTATCATTCCATCCATAAATATTTCATTATGTGTCTCTAAAAGATATGAATCCTTTCCTTCCACATTACAAGACCATTACCACAACTAAAAACACAAGGGCTCCTAAATGTCATCAGATATCAAATTTCCAGTTGTCTCAAAAATCATTTTTTAAGTTTTGTTTGTTTGTTCGTTTGAATCAAGATCCAAATAGGGCCCACACACTTCTATCGGACAGAACGTTATTTTAAATAAAACTAATCATTTCATGCATTTGTAAGAGGACATCGTTTTCAATCTCTTCCCAAGTTATCATTCCCATTTGTTCTGTCCTATTTGGTCAGGTTTCTTTACTACATACTCCATCAGTTTCTTTACTTACCCTTTATTTGTACTAAGTTAAGCACTCTCAACGCACGGTTGTAAGTTACTAGAGATGGACTCGAATGTCTGATGTCTGTTTCCAGTGGCCGGGGATTCAGAAATGAGAGATTTCTCATTGAAAATGTTTTGGGCCCAATTATAATATATGTTTAAAATCTGGATCGATGCATGCTCTAACTTGGGAGATGAGGGCAAAATGGGTCCCCCTCAACCACATGGACTATCTAGTTCAGGAAAGCATTTGTCCAACATTACAGGTAGTTCTAAACTATATCCGATAACAGACCGATCTCTTAAAGTAAAGACAAGTATCATATTGGGAAATTACTCCACTCAGAGCAGACTGGACCTCAGTTTAGTCTTTAGAAAACAATCTGATTTCTCAGCTAATTGTTTTCTCTTCCAAAAGGCCGACTTTATCCTTTGGATCCTACAGGCCAATGCCAGAATTAACAAGGTAACTGAGACAAATTTCCCGTGGACATGCCGTGACAGGCAGTCAAGTTCTTATCCAAAGTTGTGGGAAGGCCCTCTGATGGCAGAGGGAAAATGGAGGGGCGGGGATCAGCCTGTCGGAAAGAGCAGTTAGGAGAACTCTGAAATGTCCAGGCAAGAAGCGATGTGCTCCTGAAGTTGAGTAGGAAGAGGGCAGGTAGAAGAGGAATGTGAGAAAAGAAGGAAGAGGGGATTTGGGGGCTGATTGAACGTGGAGGTAAAGATGGAAGAGGAAGGAGTCATTAGCAACATTCATGTTTCCAACTCCAGTGCTGAGAGGCTGTGTGAAAAGGATTCGTAAACATGCACTCACGCACGCACGCATACATGCACGCATGCACACACAAATTGCCCATGCTCCTGGGATGGAAACAGCTAGCTGATCTGTGAAGAGAACAAGAAAACATACCTATGTGAAATACTCTATAGTTGCAGCAAGAGTTCTCAACGCTCGCTGTACATGAGAATCATCTGGGGAGTTCAAAACATACTATGTCCAGGCCCCAGCTCAGGCCAGCTGAATCAGAATCCCTGGGTATTTTTTTACATCTCCTGCCTCCTTCCGCCCAACACAATTATCCGCCTGTTCCAAAACCCGTAGGAGGACTCATTGTTGCACTGTTCACAGCTTGAAGCTTAGTTTGCCTGACCTTCCAAACTCAGTTCTCTAACAAAAAGAGGCTGGCAAGGACAGCCTGGCAGGGGAACAGGAAAGAAGGGAGCCAGGTGTCCGGCACACGCGCTTCCCCTCTGCCTGCGGAAGGTGGCGGTTCTTACACTTCTGTGAGTCACATTCATGCTAGGATATTTGTCAAATGCAGATGCCTGGGCCCCACTCCCTGTGTAGGTCAGGTCTACCGTGCATGGTTCAGGAATCTGCATTTTAATGGGTTCCGGGTGACTCTGAAAGAGGGTTCATGGCATACACAGTCCCAGAACCCCCGAGAGGCCTGCAGGGGCAATAGTCTCAGAGGCAATGGGTCCCCATGGTGGACATGTGCAGGGCAGGGATTTTCTTTCATCTCGAATCCCATCCCAGGAGACTGAAGAGGCAGGTCTGAGGTAGCCTCCAACAATCAGTGTTAGAATAGTGTTAGTGGGGCTCTATCCAATTTAGGGGGCCTTTATAGGGAAAAAAGTACACCTGCCCCAAGTTTTCATTGTATAACAGAAAGTGGAAGCAAAGCAGGAAGGGCCCTTGGCTCACTCACTCCATTTCACCAAACGGGAAACTGAGGGGTTTTCCTAGGCTGACTGCTGGCAGGAAGTGCAGGAGCGCAAGGAACCTAAAAAGCAGCCTCTGGTCTTTCAGCAAACTTCAATTTCAGCAGTGGGTTTCAATGTGAGGTCCCTGGACCAGCAACATCAGCATCATTTGCTAGAAATGCAAATTCCGGGGCTCCACCCCATACCTATTAGATTGGACTCTAGGGGTTGGGCCCCCAATCTGTGACAACAAGGCCTCAGGTGATTCTGATGTTGTTCAGGTTTGAGGACCCTGCACCAGAGGCTCCGATGCTTTAGTGCTCGTGGGCTTAGACGGTTCCCCACTTCACCTGGCCATCGCCTCAGTCCCTTTGTGTGGGAAGAGGAGAAAGTCGCACAGCACCCCTCCCACTCTCTCCACTAGTTATTGAGAAGGTGCCGAATGACACAGGGGCTGCTTTGTCCAGAGAAAAGCCAGGTTCCAGGCAGCTGCCACCTGCCCAGCTGGCTGCTCTCCCAGCTGACTCTCAGCTTTGTTTTTCTTCTCTCCAAGCCTGAAGAGGGGTGCAGGAGGGACATTCCCTCAGAAAGAAAAGGCACCTCGGTGCCTAACCCCCACAATAGAGGCAGCTCTGGCTCAGTTCTGGTTCCACTGTTCTCCCTAGAGAAATATGGGAGTAGGGCTCAGGGAATGTTGCCACACTCTCCTTCTGGCCCAGGAGTACTTCCTTTTCTCGTAGGATGGAGAAGCAAACACTGCTTCTGGAGCAGGCTTTTTGAGTCAGTGGGGCAGCATCCTGGGCCAGGACAAAAGCCCTTCTTGGAAGAGGTGTCAACGTTCGTACCCACTCCTCCAGAAATGGGTTTTAGTCAGCCCAGGCTGCTACATTGAAATGCCACAGACTGGGTGGCTTAAATAACAGACATGTATCTTTCTCAATTCTGGAGGCTGGGAAGAGAGGCTGATTAAGAGGCTGAGGCACAGGGTGAGGACTGGCTCAGTGCAACAGGGCGAGCTACTCAGCTCTTTCTTTTCCAGTCCCAGGTTTGGACTTCTTCCAAGCATTCTGATCAAAGAGAAAGACTAATATGCTCTAAAAAAGGAGTCATCGGGATCAAGAATAATCCAGCTCCATTGTCAGGATTCATTATAGTCTTTAAATACATTGTAAGAGAGTTCAGAGCTTTGAAGCCAAAATTCTGGAATGTACTTGGGTTATATTAAAAGCACAATTTTATATTTTCTTGTCAAACAACTTTACTTGAGACAACAAATGAAGTATAATTTAACTCAACAGGAAATATCACACTTGGAGGAAAAACATAGAAAAAAAAACCCTTAAATTAAAGCCAAATATTCTTTCCAAGGCACAGCATTGACATTTACAGATTGACAGCAAAATGAGTTTGTTTCCATGAAACAAAATCATGAGTCCAAAGTCTGCCTTTGAAACAGTTTTCCACTTCATCCTCACTTCTCAAGGCTCAGGGAACGATGCTTGTGGCCTTTCTCAGGGCCAGGTAGCCAGTGACGACATCGGATGGCAGCCTCCGAATGTAGGAAAACTCTTCGATGGTCTTGCTCTGGGGGTCCGTGTAGTTGGCCTGGGTGGGAAATAGGCACAGAGAAGGCAGAAGAGGTGGTGGTAGTGGTGGTGAATATTTTAAGTTCGAGTTAAAATTTTTTTCTATTTTACTGAAAGTGAAATATATCTTCATTATGTCTTAACTCTGTCACCAAGAACACTAAATTTCTCACTCGGGCAAAAACTTGTTACTCTTCCCAGCCTTGAGAAATACTTCAGGGTATGGATGGAAAAGGGATAACCACATCGGTCACTAGGATTCTTCTGGTTGGTGCCTCAAGGGCTGCAACCAACAGGTCCAAAAGTGAATTCATGATGATCACCCCTCCTGGATCTCTGCCTTCAATCTAACCACCTGCTTCAGAAGAATGTTCCAGATCTGTTCCCCAAGGCAAGGAGCAGCACACCCACCCCTCCCTGCCACCCTCCACCTACTCCAGGGCGCTCCTCTCCCATTCTTCCGCCCTCTCTCCATGCCACTCCCACGGCTCCCTGGGCTCCACTGCAGTGTTGGACTGGCCACCCACACCCACTCTTCCACTGGAAGACACGGCCATCCTACAACTGCAGCCAGGGTCATCTTTGCTACTTGCAAGTCTGATCACGTCATTCTTCGTGAAACCTCTCAATGGCTCTTCTTTTTTGTTCTCGAGACAAAGAAACAACTCCTCAGCATGGCTCCTGAGTCTTTCCTCCTTCCCATACCTTTTCCTCAGCTACCTGTTGTCACTCACTGGTTCCATCTACCCTGCCTCTATGTCTCTCCCTCCTGTCATGCCCCATTTGCCCTTTCCTTGGGAGGGGCTCCCATCCTGGCCCACTTTGCTCAGCAATCACCTGTTCATCCTGTAGGACTCAGTCCCCAAAGTCATATCAGGGAAGCCTTATCTGTCCCCACAAGGGCAGGACCCCACCCTCACTCTTACCTCACCACTGTTCTCCTGTGGAATGCTTATCTCTGATGCTTTTACATTTATTATCTGCATGACTCTTTGACTAAGGTCTAGGCCATGAGGCTCCCTGAGGCAAGAACCCTGTGGTGTGCTCATCACTGAACCCCAGCTCCAAGTGCAATGCAGAGTGCACAGTGGGCCTTCAGCCAGTGTTTGTACAGCAACAACAAATACATGAATGAACAAAAAATGGACAATCAGGACCATCACAGAAAAGAAAACTTGTTTCTCAATTGACATATCGAAATTCTCTTTTGGTCTGTTTTTAACATGTGCAGAGTGGAGAAGATAACTCACTCCCTATATACCTCGAGGCACATGGCTCCTGCAGATTTTGAAACAGAAACCATGAGGGTGAGTCATTTGGAGCTCCTTTAAAAAATTATAAAGGATGCCATTAAAGTCTAGACAGATAACATCCAATTACTCAAGTGTGGCTTGTCTGCTCCAAGGTTGATCATCTCCTTGGAAGAGGAGGCAGCAACGCTGAGATCTGAGCTGGGAGGGGAGCGAAGAAGCAACAAGCCGAGGGAACTGAGTCATGAGTTTCTCATACTCTAAAAAGTCTTCAGTTCTGCCACTGGAGATCTCCTTAGGCTTTTTAACATCTATGCGTCAGGAAAATGCGATTATTTCTAAAAAACTAAGATTAATTGAAGTTCTGCATAAAATAAAACTTTGATCCTTTGGCCTGATCTAAATAGTGCCTTTCTTTACCACATTCCCTTCAGGGGCAGTATCAGAAAGGAAAGCTTAACTAGAAAAACAGCAACAGCCCCTTTTGAGGCTCCTGGCCAGGATGCAGTTAGATGGACTAACTGGCAGGGGGAGGCTGCCCCACAGTTCGAGCAGGGGCGCAGGCATGTGCATCTGGCTTTGATCATCTAGCCTCTGTATACGAACCAGCCCCAGCCTGGCTCCATTCCTGTGGCTGCCTCACTCCCACCACCAAACTGTCCTGAGCCGCTCAAGTTCAGACCTCACTGCCAAGAAGGCTTCTGAATACATAATGCAGAATACAGAGATACTGTGGCACCAACAAAAAGGTCATCAACAAGAACTTGCACAGACCGGACTTGACCTAGTATTCTGAACAGAAGGGAGGATGCCAAGTGACGCTGCAGAGTGGAACAAGTAAAGAACTGCACTCCTACAGTCGGAAGCTCCTCCGGATTCCATCCCTGGGGCCTGAATGAAACAAAGGCTGCCTTCCAGGAGGGCAGGCAGCAAACAGCTTTCAGGCCTTTCTCGCTGCAGGGGGACAGGGAGTGTTCACTGCTCCTCATCTTTCCCGAGCCACAGTACTTTCCATGGCTTGTAACCAGGGCTGAAAAGCTGTGACCCTGCTCGCCACCCTGCCACACCTCCCTGCCACGCCCGCGCACAGGGGAAACAGTCAGTCAGTCACTTGGCTGGCTGCAAAGGGGTGGGTCATAAACAACTATTAAAAAAAGTCAAATATACGAGGTAACTATTTTCACGTAGTCGACAACTGGGTCATAAACAACTATTAAAAAAAGTCAAATATAAGAGGTAACTATTTTCACGTAGTCGACAACAGATAGCATAAGGCTACATTTCTCTAAAGGTGAAGTTCCCTTAGGGGACCTTTAGGAGGAGATACATGCCATGAATGGATGCGAAAAGAAGCCACCACAAACACACACCATTTTATAGTGCTTCTTCTCTCTTTTTCATTTTTTAGCATCCTCGTGTTTAAGGATCTATGTTAAAAGTCTGTAGTACACTGAGGAGTGTGTGTTCTCTGAAGGAAATAAAACATATGACTAATTCAGCATATAACTAACGTTATTTTCAAAATACAGTAACAACTCAAATCCTTCCAAGGTAAAATGTGTATCATTAATTTAGTTTGTTACAGAAGCTGCAGTCATACATTTTCATAAAAATGTAAAGCATTTAAATGATGTGAATGAGTTTTAAAAAGTGAAGTGACTCATTTTTTCTACAGTTATGAAAAAAAGCCTATCTTCCAAATCGAATAGTGATGAAGAAGGTGAGCTGAAAGTTCTACCCTTCGTCTACATTCTGAAAAGAAGGAAACGAGACTCTCGGAGGTTCCTGAGGTTCAGTTACTTGCCCAAGTCCCACTTCTTCAACTATGCTGCTAGTTTTCAAACCGTGTTCCCCAGAAGGGGTTACTGTGGTGGGAGTGGGGAGAACGGAGGACCAGATCCACAAGGGGCCACAGTGGGTAGGTGGGCTCCAGGGAATTCTGTAAAAGATTCCATTTGGAAAAGGAGTTCTGGTGCTTAAAAATATGTTTGAAAATCACTGCTTTTACCATATTACCCCATTAGAGAAATTTCGATATTTAAAAAAATCATCTCTAAACTGCAAGAAGTTTTTTAAACTTGAGCAGTAAAAAAAGATAAAAAAAAAGTTTTTCTGTGTGTAATTAACATATGTATGAAACATATACGTGTGTGTGTGTGTGTGTGTGTGTGTGTGTGTATTTGTGTTTATATAGTTAAGCAGAGGAAGGGAAAGTGAAACTTGGGTCTGCTGCTTTTCGGAGCAATCCTTTCTCCAAGCTGCCCACATGAATGCCCCAGGCGGCAGCCATTCCATAATAAATGTGTGAACGCTTCAGCACAAACCCCATTACCTATTCAAAGTTTATGGGCTCCAGGCGGGACCAGTGGTGGTCAATATTCAACACTACTATGTAGACAACACTGTGAAATCGTCCTTTCAATTCAATGTTATAAGACATAGAGATGTAATTATACTCACAAGAAGACCTGAAACATCAGAATACTTCTTAGCTGGTTTGAAGGATGGAGGAGCATCAATACTGAAATCTGGAAACAAAAAAAAAAAAAAAAGAAAAGAAAAAGAAGAAAACTAAGCTGGCTAAAATACTGTTTGATAATATTTCTGAAATTTTTACTTCGCGATTAAGTTCTCAGAATTCTCTGGGGAAATAATGCAGTATGTCACAGACCAAGTGCAGGCTCCGGATCTAGCTTTGCCCTGTTCCCAGGAACACTATTCTAGCAGAACCACCAAAAAGCTCATCTGCCCACAAGCCACTTTCACTGTCTCAGGCTATATTGGCTGAAGGTGATGAGATGCCAAACAACCCACTGTTTGGATGTGAGCGTCCAAACACTGGAATGTCCACACTCAGACAACTGTCTAGCTCCCTTTTCACCAGTCTGAGTCACCCCCATGAAAGACGTACAGTGGGATGGGAGATGGAGGAAATTTTACCTATACTTTCCAATGAAGCTGTACAGAACGTACAATAGTGCTTTCAATAGATTTGGAAATACCACAGCATAAAGCATTGACTCTGAAAAACACCAGCTCAGAGGGTAAAACAGAGCTGGCCTTTAAGCTGGTTGTGAGAAAACCTTCTAAATCTCGGGCAACCCTGCTCTTAGAAACAAATTTTAAGAGCAGATTTCTGAATAAGAAGTTTGTCAAATAGAAACACCGATATTATCATATCAGGACCTATTTCACCAGATTGAAATGATAACAGTGACACTAAAAACCACTCATCCAAGACAATACAGATTCGACATAGATACAGTTATGAGGAAATATATACATAATTTCCCTATACTGATGCCACTATAAAATTCCTAAGCTAAAAATTGTTTCCTACATTAATACGAACACAATAATGTAGGTTTGTTATAAGAAAGTTTCTAGTCTAAACATTATGAACTCATAGAAGGCTCTAGACAGCTCACAGTTAGGATCGTTCAGTTGCCACGGCAATGCCCTTTCAGAAGCAAGAATTTGTTTCAGGTTCTTCCAGGTTCTATTCTTCTTGCCAGCTACTGCACCACCATGGCCAGAGTGCTGGAATTAAAAGCATGGATTAGATGAAACAAAAGTCAATGGAAAGTACCATTTCAGAATCTGACATTTATTCTTATTCATAACAGTAATATACCCTTCATTCTGTCAGCAATCATTTATACCCCTAAGGCTTTTTAAAAAAGTAATACACTGTATATTTTAATCTTACTTATAAAAAACAATGCTTTTGAATTGTTGAAACCTATGAGTGAGTTAGTGATAGAGTAGAAATAAAATGTTATAACATTTTTTTTACATACACATAGAAAATCACATCCTTTATTGGGTCTAACTTTGAATTCACTCATGAATTTCCTATTACTTTAAAATAAATTTACTACAAAGTTAGATTTAAATTCATGATCACCTCTCTAAACCCTTCTGAGGGCAAGTCTTTGCCTTGCAAAGTGCTGGTGATCCTGGAAAACCTAAATAAGGTTCAATCATGGCATGGCAAGCCTTCTAGAATTTTTTTTTCTTTTGTCCTATGAAGATGACAAAATAAAATGGAAAAGAATGCCAAAATCTGCTGCAGGCACTGGCAATACTGTATTTTCAAAACTAATTAATGAAAAATAAACTTTTAATCGTGTAACCTGAATCACTATATTTCTTATATCCTTCGAGAACAAAAGGAAGAGTAGCCTATTTCTACTTTACAGCACAATAGCTTAGATGTACTTAAAGGAAATGCCTGTGTTATCCTGCCTCCACCCCTCCCACAACAGCCCATGACAGAGAAGGTGGTGACTTGGATGGAGAAGGGGACATGCAGGCCCAGCATGATCAGAAGCCATGGTATGGTTGTTTGATTTTTTATGTATAAAGTACCTTAGATGCTTACCACAAAGTTCGGATCCTTAAATGGCAAAGGTTTGGCAGTTTTTTCCATAGGTCCTGTGCTAAAATCAGAGGGCACCATTTTATTCTCAGCCATGGCTTCCATGCTGATACCCTTAAAACATAGTAAGAGTAGTAGGAGGTCAGTTTCTTTTAGCTGAGTTCCTTAATTCAGCTCTCAACAAGAAAAGATGATACCATGGGACGTTTGAGGGAATACAGTGTGCCCAGAGCCCTTGCAGGTGGCCTGCACCAGAGGAGGGCATGCCAGATTGGTAGCCGCACCTGCAGTGCAGAAGCCACAGGACAGTCAGCCAGGATCCCAGCTGTCATGCTTTCTGGCCTCTCTATGTGCCACGCACAAGAATGGGTGTCCTAGCTGAGCTGCTCATTTAACCCTGACAACCACTACAAGGTAGTGCTATTATCCCCAGGTTACAGAAAAACAAATGAACAAATAAAACAGTCTTTCCATGACACCACATGGCCCCTTACTCCTATTGATCTTGTCAAATTGTCTTGAGACATTAAGACAAAAAAAAAGATCCAGCCCCTTTAAGGGTCACATCAGCCAGACAACCCAGGCTTGAGCTGGTATGCATAAGGGGCACAACAGGATATGGGCATTCTAAGAAGAATGGAGGGAGAGTAGGCTAGAGCGTCAGCTGGCTGTGGCCAGAATGCCCTGACAAGAAGGCTAATATGCTTTAAAACGAAAAATCTTTTAAGCTGCAATTACAAAGAAGAAAGACAAAAAAATCACTCCTGATTTATAATGCAATTTCCAATCTTCCCGGACTGCAATAAACTTTTTAAACTGACATATAATTCATGTACAGAGAAATGCACACATCTTAGGTTTCATGGGTTTTGCCAATGTTTACACTTGTGCAGCCCACATCCCTATCGAGATATAGGACATTTACATCATCCCAGAACGTTCCCTCCTGCCTCTTCCTAGTCAATCCCTTCTATCCTTGGCCAACCACTGTTCAGATTTCTACCACATCACCTTTGCCTCACATGAGTGGAATCTGGCAGTATATACTGTTGTGTTAGGCTTCTTTAGCTCAGCATAAAGTTTCTGAGATCTATCCATGATGTTGCACGGATCAGTAGTTTGTTTTGCTGAATTTGAATACTACTCAGCACAGTAGTATTCTCGTGTATAGGATGTACCACAATTTGTTTACCCATTTTCCTATTAATGAAATTGTTATTTTCAGTCTTCAGCTATTATAAATAAAGCTGCTGTGAAATATCTATACAAGCCTTTGTGTGGACCTGTGTTTTTACTTCTCTTGGGTAAATACCTAGGAGTGGAATGGTTGGCTTATAGGGTATGTGTATGTTTCATTTTATAAGAAAATGCCCAATCATTTTCTTAAATAGTTGCACTCTTACACTCCCAGCAGCAGTGTAAGAAAGTTCTGGATGGATACACACACACACACACAGAATCTTCCACTCCACCTCCCCCACCATCTCTACCACGCCCTGCAATGGCATCCATGTGGGAGGAAGGGGAACGGGGGAGATTGGGAGCACTCATTCTGCTGCAATAGTTCTCTAAACAGTTTCTTCTCAAACACTTGCCCAGACTCCTCTAGGGTCTCTCCATGTAGGCCTGTGCTCCTTCTTCTCTGTTCATACCACCTCTTCCTGTCTGGACTGTTCCTCACCTCAACCTCCCCCCATTCATGGTCCTTCCTAACTTCTCTCCCCTCCAAGGCCCAGCTCAAATGTCAATTAACCAAGAACTAAGAGGCCTCCAATTTCTCATCCTTTTCCTACTGTCTGTAGCCACAAGTGATGTCTCTCTTCTCTCCTTTCCTTCATTCTCTTCCTCCTGCCCGCCTCTGTCTGCCTACCCTTCTTTGCCACAATTCTTTGCCCTTATCTGGCACCTTTCTTAGATATAAGCTTCAGAGGAGTGACCCTGTAGTACACATCTTGCCTACTCCATTCCCTACAGCACAGTCAGTGTCATAGTTTTAAATGCAAGCGTGATGTCAATCCCCTACTTACAACTGGCGAGGGGTTCCCACCGCCCTGGGATTAGGAACAAATTCTGGCTCCCTCTCCGGCCTTGTCTCTTGCTCCCCCTCCTTCCTGTATTCTGTATTTTCTGTTGCAAAATCCAGTAAGTCATTTTCTATACAGCACAAATAGTTTCCAATTTTTCCATTTTTATTTATGCTTCACCAAAATTATTTTCATCAGGATTAGTCCATGTCAGATTTAATTTTACAACAAAGATTAGATTTAGCATTTTGTACATAACTAACTTTTTTTACCTTTGTGATTTTTCTCTCATGGTCACAGTATTTCTGCCAGGTACACGTGTCCTGGGAGACACAATCTGATGAAGAAGATTTGATTTTCCCATTACATTTAATCATTTACTGACGTTACCTGTGTAACCCGTTGTCAATGTTATTTTGTGCTGTTTGTTAGAGTAATGTCTATTATAAATTGGATACATGATTGATAGTTTGAATCTATGTCTTAGTCAATGAAAAACAGCAGCTTTTGAAACAGGGAACAACAAACCAGAAGGAGAGAAAAGGAGAGAGGTAAGCGGACTGGGAAAGGAGTCAGAGAGTGAGAATTCATAGAGGGGTCAAAACATCCTGCTTCATTCTATGGCTCAGTCTTCCGTCCTCTGCATCTAACCCAGTGCCTGGCACAGAGTTAGTACCAAAGCATCACTGACTGGTTGACTGACCGGAGTTAAGGAACAAGACAGCGTGGCCTAACTAAATTCCAGTATCAATATGTATATGCTCAGGAGTTCATTGTAAGGAATCGTTCCTGGGTGGGATGCCGTGGCCGAACACAAAGAAACACAGGAAGGATAATTCAGAAACAACTGGGCTTGGTTACCTGCAGAGCACAAGGAACAGGGCGGAAAGGACAGGGAGATGGGAAGAGAGAGGAGTAAAACTTCTCTAAGTATAGCTCTTTGTAGAGTTTTGACCTTTTGAACCATGTTAAAGTTTTACATACTACTACTACTACTACTACTGATAAAACCAATAAGGATGGGGCAGCAGGCAGAGAAGATGGAATACAAACACAACCAAATCGGCCTTGCTATATTTGGAATGAATAACAACCACACTGAAAGAGAGGAAGGGAGACATAACTTTGGTGACTATGAAAACAGTATTTTGACAACATAACCTTAAGGTTAAAGGCAAAAAGAACATAAACAATTTGTAGGTTTGTTTCTCACAAGGGTACGGGTTAGTAATTCTGCCAATATGTGTTCTAAGATGAAGCAAATAGGAATGGGGAAGGCTAAAATGAACCTTGCATAGTAGATTAAAATCAGAGGTAATATGAACTCGTGGTTTTTAACATATACATAGACAGATAAACACAGAAATAGATACGGAGGTGTGTGTGTGTGTGGGGGGGTTGTTATGTACACACATACCTATATCTCCTAGGTCTCTCTACTCAGAGGGCTAGAAACAGCGAACAGCAGGCACACCATTGTCCAGATCCTAGTTTCTAAATATATTTCCCAGGATCTAGTGATCCTTAAACAAATGGCTAATTCCAGGGCTGGGACAGGAAAGTACAAGATGAGCCTTGTGGTACCAGAAAGTAAGAAAACTACTGCATCAGTTTGCTAGAGATGCCATAACAAAATACCACAGACTGAGTGGTTTGAACAACAGAAATTTATCTTCTCACAGTTCTGGAGACTAGAGTCCAAGATCCAGGTGCCAGCAGCGTTGATTCCTCCTGAGGCCCCTCTCCTTGATTTGTAGATGGCCATCTTCTCACTGTCTTCACATGGCCTTTCCTCTGTACATGGGCCTCCCTGATGTCTCTCCCTCTTCTTATAAGGACACCGGTCTTACTGGATTAGAGCCCCATCCATGTGACCTCATTTAGCCTTAATTATTTCTGTAATGGTTCTATCTCTAAATACAGTAACAATCTGAGGTGTACTAAGGGTTAGGACTACAACAGATGAATCTTGGGGGGACATAATTCAGTGCATAACAGCACTCAAAAAATGGTAGAGGTACATTAAAGGTTACAGGAGCCAGTTTGAAGAGTTCCCAGTAGCCAAATCTGGGCAATTTGAGCAACAAAATAAATAATGCTAATCCAGAATATATAAAGGACTCTTATGACTCAATGACAAAAAGACAAATAATTCCATTTTAAAGGCAAAGACTTCAATAAAAATGTCTTCAGAAAAGATATACAAATGGCCAATAAGCATTGAAAAGATGTTCAACATCATTAGTCAGTAGGGAAATGTAAATCAAAATAGTGAGATATTATTTCACACCCACTAAAATGGCTATAATCGAAAACACAATAGCATGTGTTGGCGAGGATGTGGAGAAACTAGAACCCTCAGACATTGCTCGTGAAAATGTAAAAGGGGCAGTCATTTTGAAAAACAGTTTGGTTACCTGTTTTTATAGGCCAATCTGACAGCGAGTGAGCCAGGAGTTCCATGAAACCTGAAGAGGAAGCCTTAGCTGGCATGCAAGTTGAGAAGAGTGACCGTCATCTGCTCTTTTAAGAGGTGGCCACACAGGGGGAAGGAGGGAGTTTGGCCCACTGGCTGGAAGGCACATGAGGTGAGGTCACTTGCTAGTGTTAGAATGAAACGGGCCATTCTCTTGAGGAATCTAACAATTCGTTAAGGGTGCATCACAAGACTACTCAGGGAGGAAAAGCCAATGGGTGTGGGCTGTCAGAAGGCTGGGCCTACAGGGTGGCCTGATTTAAGTAAGAGAGAGAAAAATAACCCTAAGAAGTATGCAGAGAGCTCCCATCAGGGAGAAACCATGACAGCTAGGGACAACTCAGGGAAAATAGGTAGAATATGAGAGCTTTCCTAGGGCCAAATATACTTTGTTTCAACTTTATTGAGTTTTTCATAAAGAAAATGACAACTTATATAATCTTGTTTCCATTCGGGAGAATATAAACAAACAGAACTGCTCCAGAAGCAAAGAGATACGAAAAGGAAATGAAGAACTGGGCCCCAAAGCCTCCAATGGTGATTACGGAACCAGCCACAGAACATGCCCAGCTCAGTGCTGCCAGCCTCATGCACTGGCGTTAGCTTTATCTCCT